TGATCATAGATCAAGGTTAGTGAATAATAATAATAATAATAATAATAATAATACTAAATATAAATAAACTTAAATCAATACGCCTTTTAAAAAAAAAAATACCTAAAAGATGTTTTTCTCTCTCTCTCTCTCTTTTTCGTTTTTCATTCGAATGTCATGACCCCGCAATCATTGAAGTAAAAGTCGGATAAAAAAAAATATGTACTTTTTTTTTTTTTTTTTTTCTTTTAAATTGACCCAAATCGTGTTTTATTCATTTGTAATTATAATACCAACATGAAAAAAAAAAAAAAAAAAAACGATGTTGGCATTCAATATGCAAAAAAAAAAAAAAAAAAAAAAAAAATTTTTTTTTGGGGGATTCGAACACCTGGACGCCATTAAAATTTCATACACACGCCCTCCCCCTGTCGATTTCATTGAATTTAGTGTCGTGGAAGAAGAAGAAGAAGAAGAAGAAATAAACATTCAGTGACACGTTCTTTTGTTCTTCCCCCCTACCCTTCTCCGTTAAAAGAAGACACACACGCACACGCACACGCACACGTAATAAAACAAAATAATTTATATATAAAATAAAATAAAAACGCGAACGAACCGTTATGTTATTATCATTTTATTTTTAACATAAAAAATGATAAAAACATTTTCCTTATCGCTTTTGTGTTGTTCACTTACGTACGATGTGAAAAGCCTAATAAAAAAATTTGTCGCTTTTTACATGTTCCCCCCCTTTCCCCCTCCCCCCGCGTTTTCTTTTTCGTTCCCGTCACTTTTTAACGACATAACAAACAACGCGAAAATTTTTTTTTTTACATTAATTAAATTTACATCACCTGATTATACCTTTATATGAGGAGAGAGAGAGAGAGAAATCAAATTTAAATTTTTTTTTGGGCAAAAAAAAAACAATGCGAAAAAACCATTATTATTATCATTATTATTATCATTATTATCATTATTATTATTATTATTTTGTAATCGAACATGTGGATATTGTCAAAACTAAAAGAATTTTTTCGTTCGACCGCATTATTAGAAATTTCAAACCAACAAATTTACATTCAAGATTTGCCAGCTACTGCTAGACAATTATTTGATTTTTTTTTTTTTTTTTTTTCGGCCAATTTTTTTTTTTTTTTTTTTTTTTTTTTTTTTTTTTGGTTTCTCAGACTAAAAATTATGTAATTCAGGTATTTAATTTTTGGCAGAACGATATAAACAACAACAACAACAACAACAACCGAGGGGAACAAAATTATATTATTATAAAAAAATTGTAATCAGGTTTGAGTCGAGCTTTCACGAACGCAAAAGAAACAAAACGAAATCGTAACCGAAGCAAAAAAAAAAAAAATTTTAATTTAATTGTAAATGACGCTAATAATAATAATAATAATAATAATGGCGAAGAATAACAAAAGAAATCGAATTATGTAACGCGTTAATCGTTTAGAAAAAAAAAAAATAATAATAATAATAATTTTCATTCATAGAAATCAATCCAACCTTATTTAAATGATTTAAACGCGAGAGTAAAAAAAATTTTTTTTTAGTGATTTTTTAGTAATTTTTTAGTGTTTTTTTTAGTTTTTTAGTGTTTTTTAAACTGTTTTTTTTTTTTTTTGTATTTTATTACGTAATTACCATTTTCTACTATGGCAATTATAAATTAAATTAAAATTAAAAATTAAAAAAAAAAAAAACCGAAAACTGGTACGAAAAAAAAAAAAAAAATTAATTTTCACTCGAAATATTATTTAGAAATTTTACAAAATAATTATTTTCATTTTTAATATATATGTAAATAAGACATAAAAAAATAAATTAATAATAATAATAATAATAATAATGTTTAATGAAAAATAATAATAATAATAATAATAATAATAATAAAACCAGATTAAATGACTTGAATTTTTTTCGTCATGAGAATGACGACTACGCGGTAAATGTGGCATTTAAAAATTATTCCCTTGATATTATTATTATTATTATTATTACGAAATAAATACGAATTACTTTTTTTTTTTTTTGTAAATTAACATTATGAGGTTTTACTTTTTTTTTCGTATATAAAAATAAATTTAAAATAAATTGACATTAAAAAAAAAAAAAAAAAAAAAAAAAATCGTCATCGATGTCTTAGAGACTCATTAAAACAATTACTTATTATTATTATTATTATTTTAAACATTCCAGTGAGAGAGAGAGAGAGAGAGAGAAAACTAATAAATAAATTTCACTTTTGAGTGTCAAATAAATTATGTTAAAAAAAAAAAAAAGAAAACAACAAACAACAACAACCCCAACAACAACTAAAAACAATCAAAATAAATTTAAAAAAAAATTTTTTTTTTTGTTTCATTGCAAACCAAACAACTGAACCTATCAATCTATCCATATAACCTTAAAATTTATTTATTTATCAATTATTATTATTATATCAATTTAAACTAATCAAAAATATATACATAAAAAAGGAAAATAAATAATTTTTAAATGTTCATGAATGTTTTATAAAAAAAAAAAAAACAATCAAACAATAATTATGTATGTTTTGAAATGTAATCTATCAAATGTAAATAATAATGATAATTTTAGCCATTTTTTTATTTTATCTATCCTAAAGGGTAAATGTATGTATTGAGGAAGTAAAAATTATTATTATTATTATTAAAGATAATTTAATATAAATTATTTAAATCTCATTCACAGACACACGCACAAACACACAAGAATAAAAAAAAAAATATTTAAAACAATTATATATAAATATATATCTATCATTCAATGCAAGGTCATGTAAATAAATTATGAGTGTCTGTCACATGAATTCATATGAACTAAAAAATTAATGAAAATAAATTCATAAATTTTTACAAGTTTAACACAGTTTTTAAAATTTTTTTTTTTATAACAATTAATTTAAATTTCATCGAAAAGAAAAAAAATTTTTTTTTTTTTAAATTATTTTAAAAATTAAAACAATGTTAAATGAATGGATGATTGTACGACAAGAATAATAGATAAAGAATTATTAATTTTTGTTTAAAATTATTATTATTATTATTATGAATATTTAAAAAAAAAATTTAACAGAAATTTTGATCGATAATAACAAATAATAATAATAATAAGTAGGGGGGAAAAAAAAAATAAGGATTGCGAAATTTAATAATTTCTGGATTAAACCCAAAATCTTGGCAAGACACCCAAAAATAGATTCTAGCCAATAAGTAAACTTGAAACAAAAAAAAAAAAAAAAGAGATTTTCAGCTTTTTTTTATTTATGAATCAAATTTTTTTTTTTTGTAAAAATAAAAAAATTTTAAAAAATACGCCTACTTTAAAAAATATATTCTAACAGGTACGGGGTACAAAATGGCTGCAACGTATTATTTAAAATTGTTTTGAACCAAATGATTCGTTAAAATTAATTTAATGATTCCGTATTGAAAATATTAAAACAACGTTTATGTATATAATAAATAAATAAAAAAATAAATTTTTTTATCACAAAAAAAATTATACTAACCTTTTCTTTTGCTCTTCCAGCATGTTTTTGTACCGATTTCGCGATTAAAGAACCTTTACTCTCTGCCATTTTTCGTTCACCTATTATAGAAAACAACTGCAACTTACTTCTCACACTCAATTGGTCCTTCATGTTCGTTCGAGTTCGAGATCACGAATAAGCGAGACCATCCGTACCATAGAGTAAATAAATTTAACTTTCACTGCCACTGAGTCGTCTAGTTTTTGTTTGTATCTGACTTCCCTTCTAAATAAAATATGTATATAATTTTAAAAAAGTTTTATTATTTTGATGAAAATATTTTACAAATAAAACACCTTGAATATTATTGTTTATTTACTTTAATTTAATATTTTGTTTTTAATACATTTTTAATATAAAAAAAAAGTAAAACTTTTTAAAATTTATTTATTACATAGATACCCGAAATTTCTTTTTAAAAAAATTTACATAAAATAATATATTTAAATGAATATAGTTTGTAATATTTAATTTCATTTACACAAAACAGAAAACTTTGTAACTCAATACAACATAAAACTATTACAAATTATTTATTTAATAAGTATTTTCATTTACTGTAAATAAATAAATATATAGATTAATATTTTACGACACGAGCACACATTTTTCGCCATGATTACATATAACTACTTTACATTATGTTAAAAAATATTGTATCGAATGAATACTAGTACAACAGCATTTATAACTTTAAATAATTACTTAAATTTAAAAAAATTAATTTTGAGTCTATACACAATGAAATATGTATAGATTTTAAATAAAAAAATTAATCTAATTTTTCCGGTTTTTTAGAAGTGTCATCTGTACTGTAAGCTTTGTATATAAACATTCCTAGAGCAACATGAAGCATCACTACTGCACAAATAGCTGCATAAACATTTCCAGAAACATTATCAGGCCCAAATATTTCTGTAAGGAAAATTTTAATTATTTAGACATTCGGTTGAAGTTCGATAAGTTTTGGTTTTCCAATTTTAAAATAGTAAATAATGAAATATTGAGGTTTTAAAGTCTCTTACTGTCAAATAAAATAAATTTAGTTGAAAAAAATGTTGAAATAGGTAGAGCTAGTATTGCCACACAATAATAAAGAATGGAACGAAATGCTTCAAAATCAGCCTGTAACAATAAGGAAAAAATTTATTTGAATTATTCAATTTAATTTTGATAAAATAAATTTATTATTCAATTAAAAATATTTTAAAAATTAATAATTTAAAGTTTTAAAAAACGTACCGGCATTTTAGAAACTAATGTCACGAGATGAAAAATATCAACAATCCTCCATATTGGTTTTTATCTCTATGAGTTAATATAATTATTATTATTTTTTTTATTTTACTAAAAGTTAAATTTTCTATTTCTGTATTTGTAAATGTTTGCAATAAATAATAATAAAAAAATAAATAAAGTAGTTTACCTTTAAATACTTAAAATGAATTTTCCTCCTTTGTTAAATGATAGGCTTCTTCGAGCTATCAATGGTGAAGAAGTTGATAAAATTCCAGTTTGGATTATGAGACAAGCTGGACGTTATTTACCGGAATTTCGAGAAATTCGATCAAAACATGATTTTTTTACTATTTGTACTACTCCTGAATTAGCTTGCGAAGTCACAATACAACCGATTCGTCGATTTGACTTGGATGCAGCCATAATATTTTCAGATATATTGGTCATACCCCAAGCCTTAGGAATGAAAGTGGAAATGAAACCTGGTGTAGGTCCTTTTTTTCCTGATCCCTTGGAGTCACCTAAAGATGTTGAAAAACTAAATTTTAACGCAGATATTAAAACCGAACTAAAGTATGTTTACGATGCTATTACACTAACAAGAAACAGTTTGGAAGGAAAAGTTCCTTTAATTGGATTTGCTGGCGCTCCTTGGACTTTATTTGCATACATGATAGAAGGAGGTACATCTAAAACAATGTCTAAGGCAAAAAAATGGTTGTATCAATGGCCAGAAAAAAGTAAAATTCTATTAAATGTAATAGCAGATGCTGTAACTAAACATTTAATAAATCAAGCTAAAGCTGGAGCTCAAGTTCTACAGGTATTACCTGGTTGTTTCCTTTTCTTTTCGTATGTGATATTGCTCTACCTAACTATATAACTTGCAGGTTTTCGAATCCCATGCAGAATATTTAGGGCTTGACTTATTTAACAACTTCTCATTACCATTCCTACAAAAAATAGTTTTAACAGTTAAACAGGAAATTGATGTACCATTAATTATTTTCACTAAAGGTGCACATTATGCTATCAATGGTAAAAAAACAAAAAATTAGTTACATTTAAATTTTTTTAATTTTTATCGCACAAATTAAAATTATATATAATTAAAAAAAAATAAATTTATGTTTAGAATTATCAAAATCAGGTTACAATGCAGTTGGAATTGATTGGACGATTGAACCTGAAATTGCTAGGAATAAAAGTGATAACAGTATTACTCTTCAGGGAAACCTTGATCCATGTGCTCTGTATTTACCAAAAGATGAATTAATAGAAAAAACTAAACTCATGATTGAAAAATTTGGAAAAAAAAATTACATAGCAAATTTGGGACATGGTATTTATCCAGATACAGATCCTGATAATGTTAAAGTTTTTATCGATACAATTCATTCCGTGTAATTTAATTATAAACAAAAAAAAAAAAACTTTTTTTAGTATTATTATAAGATTTTGTCATTTAGTTTTAGTTGTAAAAAATTCGATTAAAGTAAGAAAATGCTCACAAAATAAAATACTAGTCAGAATTTTTTATAAATATAAAAAATATAAATAATTAAACAATAAATATATATATTATTACAAATAACTCTCATCATTCAATACTTATACCATTCAGCAGTACATTTTTTTTATCAACTAAATCTTACAGGTCTAAAATACTTATATATATACAAAAGGCTATTATTATTATTATTATATTAAATATTACAAGGCAAAATAATTAGGAACTAACTTTTTGTAATTGTAGTTCTCTTTGTAAAAAAAAAAAAAAAAATGCATAATTTTTTCGTTTATATATATATATATATATAAAGTCTTACTTTCAACAATTCTTAAAAAAATAATAACAATAATAATAATAATAATAATGTTGTATTTCAATTGTATTAATATTGTTATTAATATTCAATTCAATTCAATCAGTATTGGTTGTAGTGCAAAAAGTGATAAATTTTTTTTTCATTTTTATTTATATGTTTTTATTTATTAGTGTAAAAAATAATAAATTACGTTTATAGTATTAATTACAGTTGTAAAAAAAAAAAAAAAAACAAAATCACATGATTTGTTGTTATTATAATCTTTTTAAAAATATCTTAATTATAAATATTCTTCTATCCCCTCGTCTAAACTAACATTCAATGAAATTATCATTCGTATCTACCAAAACAACCATTTTATTGAGGTAGATATTTTTTTTTTTTTAGCTTAATATAAGCTTATTTATTTATTTCAAATATAAAAACTATCATTTCTTATAATAAAATTTTACATAATTTTGAAAAATATACTGTTTTTTTCCAAGATGATGATATAAAGCTTAATATATATATATATATATATAAAAAAAATTTTGTATTAGCTCAAACGGCTTTTACTTTTATACACGATTAAAATTTCATGCCATGAATTTCTTTTTTTTTTTTTTTTCATCCTCTGACATTCTTATCCTAATTTAGGAAGAATTATCACATAATTAAAGCCCTTTAATATAATTAAATAATTCATTCACCTTCTCCATCGAAATCCTCCAAACCTTCTTCTTCATCTTCATCTTCTTCCTCCTCCTCCTCCTCTTCCTCTTCTTCAAGTTCCAAATCGATTTCTTCCTCTTCATTGGATTGTGTTTTGCACACTGACATTGTTATAGTTTCTAATTTATTCCTATATTCTTCTGCTTCTCTTTGTTTTTTCGTATATAATTCTTGTACTGTTCTGCTTCACGTTTGGCTTCTTCAAATTTTTTATTTATATCCTCTATGGACGTGTCAAACTAAAAAACAAAAAAAATTTTTTTTTGTTTTAAAAAAGGAATTAAACTTTTGATTACTTGAATCTTTGATGATTACCTCAATGATGGGAGAATTGTCTATTTTTAAAAATTTCTTTTTAGGAGTTGATTTTTCCACATTTGACTTTGCATTGAAATTTTTAACAGTATTTAAATCATAAGAATTATCAGAACTAGGTCTCTTAATCGGTTTTATTTTTGTCGGTTTTTCTCCAGTTAAGCTTAAAGCTTGTTTTCCAGCTTCTGTTAGTAGATGAAAAAAAATCAAATTAAAAATAAATCACATTTTTTTGTAGTCATTTATCGAAACTTTTTTTTTTTTTTTTTTTTTTTTTGTAAAAGTTTCAACATTTTAGCGACAACCTATACCTGTGAGAACAATTGTTTGTCCACTTCCTACGGCAGAAGCGACTAAATTAATATCTTCTCCTTCTAACATTTCTATACCGTGTTCTTCTAATAGTTGTAATGTGGCTAACCTATTTCTTTGCTCTTCTTCATTTGAACTTTTTATTTTTTTTATTGTAACACTAGGTCTTTTATTTTGGTATGTTGGTAAAATAATAGCAGTTTTTGGTCTATCAACACTTTTATTTACATTTCCATTAACCCCTACAAAAAAATTGTAATAAAATTTTTTTTTGAAAATGAACATCAGGATTTATCCAAAATATAAAAAAAAAAAAATTGACCTATTTCTATTGGCTTAGGTGGTGATTTAGTTGTTAATATTCTAGCAGAAGTTTTTAATTGTATACTAGATTTTTTTTTCCCTACCACTGTGTATTCTCCT